TTACAGGACTTATCTTCTTCCGTACTGATCTCTGTCTCATTGGCTTCTGCTTCATGTGGGGTTCATCTGCTCCATCAGGAAATGTTCCATTATTGGTAACAGTCACATCATTTTTAGTAACTTCATTAACGGCTTTACCATTTCCCTTCTCTAAACCAGGTAGAGTTTCTAGACAATGCTACAATGTTTCACAACATAGTTAATGGTCGCAAGACTTCCTTTCTGCTTGAGACTAACCACTGAACCAACATGAACTTTAGCAACGAAGGTAGCATTCAATACAGTGGCTTTTACACACACACAAAAACATATATGACATAGTATCAAAAGTACTCTCTAACACATTTTTTCAGTTCTAGAAGGCAAGAACAAGAAAGTCAATGAATGATTGTAGTACAACCTATAGGGTGATTATACAGAAAACTACATATTTGAAATTATATTATGAACTACTTTTCCTACATGACCAAAATTTCACCACAAACACACTAGAATCATGTATTAATAAATAAAGTTTATATATGGTGTGGTGTTTCAAATACATTTTCCATTCTTCTAAACCAACATATAAAGCCTATCCTTGAATTAAGCTACTGTAAGCATGAACTGTTCTGGACAATGTTTCTTTATCCTCACAATATTCTATACACTGATATGCCTTTTATTCAGATGATCCATGTTGTACTGTTGAGAATGAAAAGAATTACAATACAAGAAATTTTAGTTTGCCTAACTAAATTTATTTTTCTCCCAAACAAACACTGCTTTTATTAATTTTACTACATAATCAAAATGTTTTTTTCATGAACTGTATTAAATTGTCCTGTGGAACTGAAATACCTGAGTTTCTCAGCAGCTTTGTGCCTTAGTATATTCAAAAGAAAAGCTGCACTGACATAGCAATGAATTAAATTAAAATAGTCAATGCATTAATCTTTCATTACTGAAAGATATAAAACAAACTCAGTATACTGGAATCCACAAAGCATCAGCTCCATAAACTTTGGGAACTGCTATTTAGGTGTATACAATTTTCTTTCTTAATTAACAATGATTAATTTCTACGTAATCAAGTTAGGATCAATGCTACAGAAAACATTTTTAAAATTCAAGGAATGTAGTTTGTATTTTACTGCATCTTGTAAAACGTCCATATGTACGTACATCTAGTTCAGTGGCAAAAAACACTGTCTTTGAAAATTTCTTATACTGTATATAAAATAATGCAAAAGCACACATCATATGTCTAATGAAGAGTAATTGATGAGACCACAGTAGCTGTGGTTTATACATACACTTACATTCTTATATACGTTTAAGAAATAAAAAAATGACAAAGAGTTTGCAAGAAATATATCGGAAAGAATTTTTCACCATGTGGCACAACATGCAAAATATTTTACAATATATATATATACTTCATTTCTTTTACAGTATAAAAATCCTACAGATAATATTTCCTCATAATTCAGCAGGCTTGTATTAATCCCTGAATGCAAAACATTATATAATTATGCTGCTTGCAAGACAGAAAAGTTAGTTCCATGTAGTTACAGCAGGTGAAAATGTAGCAATCTGTTGTAAGCATCTTTGTGGAACATTTAAAAATAGTTTTAACTTCTGATGTTGAATGTAACATCATAGTAGAACATGTTATTATACAACAGGTTATTCTGGTAATTAAATGAGTATCAAATTTACAGGCAATGACTTTTTCTTAATGAAAAGCAAAATAATTATTAGTAATTCAAATCAAATGACCTAGGTATGACTTACTTAAAGGATGAATACTTACTTAAGTCTCTCAGTTTTATGCCTTACAACCAGCTTTTTTTGTCTAAATTTCATCATACACAAGGGGCACAAATTATTATGAAATGTTACACATATAGTTACATTTTCTTTCAATGTTTTTAAATCAATGTGTTACTGTTTATTACTTTAAAAGTGTTGATTCCCTTTCTTTCCCATCCATACACGTAGTAAGCCATAATATTCAATTGGTTTCTCAATAAAGCTAATGTATTGTATACTATATTTTTCTACAACTTTACAACAAAATGGAAAAAATAAAAATAAACAGATGAACACATATGATAAGACTACAGCATTTTCACTTAAAATAAGTCCACAATAGTGCAGAACTCAAGTTCACAAAAATAGCAGTGATAAAGACAATAATGTAAATAAAAGAGTCATAACTATCTGATTTTTTAAAAGAAATGCAGTTGATAAAGTGTAGGTTTTCTTCATGATCTCTTTTGCTGTCAGCATTGAGTTGGAGACAATCATCTTCTCTGTTGGGGGTAAAATTATTCCTATGCAATGAAGATTACAATATATTAGTTGAAGATGACAAGTAAATAGTACAGAAAACAGAAATAATACTTCATTAAGATACAATAATATAACTTTTATTTTTTGTGTAAGTAACATAAAGTTTATGGCACACTTAAAAATTTTGGTTTGCATTTTTAATGAATTAAATGTTGATGGTTGTACAATAGAAACTTATTCTTTTTAAGACATAATACATCTAAGAAAATCATCATGATATCAGCTTACGCTAAGTGAGAATGGAGAAACTACTTAAGAAATACACAACAAGTTATACAAATCTGAGTTCAATTAATTAAAATACCCAAACTTTGTTACCATTAAAAAACGTTATTACATTTTGAGACAAAGCAGTTTTTATAAGTTTTGTTTTATTTGTTGTTAAGTACAAAGCTACACAATGGGCTGTATGTGCTCTGCCCACTGTGGGTATTTGTGTTATTTATAGCCTCTCAGCCACAATGAAAGATGGAGGGGTTCAGGAAAAGAGCAAAGTTCTTTTCATGTTTCCATGGAACTAGTATGATTTTTTTAATGCTATAGGAAAAACAGTCATTTTGTGATAAAATTGTTCATAATAGTTCCATGTAATCTAAGTTGTAAGATTACACATAGTCTTATAAGTTTTACAGATTATCATAATATATATATTATAATATTTCTTAAATCAAAGTTTCCAGATTATTTCTGACAACTGGAACTGATTTGTGTGATTCATCTAGTTTTTTTTTATACTAATAAAGAAAACATCTGACTAACATCAAATAACCACCAAGATAACTTATAATAATTTATTACAAAAGTTAAACAGCTTGGAAAAAGAAGAAATCCATGTTACTAAAATGTTTTTATAACATACTAAGGCATACAACAGATCAAAAAAATGAATTTACTTCTTGAGCATTATGACTATGGTAGAAAACTGAACATATGATCACCAAGCTCAAGCTAGATAATTACATGAACACTATCAGCAGTATTTCAAAAAATGATGATGTAAACATCCCTAGATTTCTAAATTAAAAAAGCACAAAAATAAATTCCTTGGAGAAAATATTACATAAGCCAGAAAAACCTTCTTTAATATGCTAGCAAGTACTGTTTTACCATTATGGTAGTTTTCTTGGAAGAAAACAATTTAATATATACTTTGCTATAAAGTGGCCTATACAAAAAATGAATAAAAGAACAAACTATCAATATTAATTGAGGAAAAATAATTAAGGGCTTAAAAGAGAGTAACTTGCTACAAGAATTATGCATTTGTTACTTACTTAATTTTCAATAAAATATTCCACTAAACTAAATCTCTATAAAATCCACCAAATGATTTTGAAGGCTAGTATTGTCAATGAAATCACAAAACTCTGTACATCTGTAATCTTAGTCAATTATAAGTTCTTGAGACTAAATGTAAATATAAAAAAATTGATCTAATTGAAAATCAAGCTGGAGCACTAAACTATATTTTCTCAATAATACTGTATACTAAAATTTAAATTTCTGAACTATAGTTCCTAAACTTCCCAATTCTCAATCAAAAGCAGAAAATTTTATTTTTCTGAAAGCAGTGTTGAGTTACATGTATATGAATTGACAAAGAGAAAAGTGTTATGCAAAAAAAATATGTACATTATATATATATAACTGAAAAATATATTTATCAGTTTCCTAGTATAAATATGCATTTGAAAGCTGTTCAGTATCAGTTTTATGTGTTTTAAATATATCAAAACAATTATCATCAGTAGTTGCCTTGATCAATATTTTTTAAATCATTTAAAGCTATAGTTATTCAAACTTTTAATGATAACTTCTTTAAATATTTCAGTGATATCAAGTTGCTTTTTCTTTCTGCAACTAGATGAATAAAACATATTTAAGAAACAGGTAGTAAAACTGTACTGAGGTCACCTCTTGTGAAAATAAAACTTCAAATTTACCCTACACATGGATTACTACATAATGTTTTTAACAAACCTTAAGCTCACTATAATCACATTTATGTTAAATTCATATTACTTCACACATGCATGGAATACAGCAAAGGTATTGTAAGGCATGAAAAGATTATCAAGCAAGTTCATGTAAAACTAACTACCCTTGTTTAATTCAGTGATGTATAGAGAAACTTAGTTACAATGATAAACATCAATAAAAATAACAGATACATCAAGTATGGCTTTCTGCAATTCAAAGTTAACTTTTAATAAGTATGTTTATTATATTTATGGGGTTAAAAACATAAAATCATGAATTATGTCAGCAAATCTGGTAATAAAATGAGATGTAGCTGGATTGTTGTCATGTAGCATTTATGGAATCTCACAACTTTGGGATACATGAAAGTTTCTCATACTAATAAACTGGACACACAACACTTTCTTTTGTATACTCTTGAGTAAAGGGATATTAATTTATCCCTGCCATATCTAAATTGATCTGAATATTATCATCATCAATATCATTTCTGTCTTCAATGTTATAAAAGGCTCCAATGTACATAAATCTAAAATTTTATTTCCAACTAAGATTGGTTTCATTATTAATTCAGAATTGCATAGAATCGGTCTTATTTCTGACTCATGCCACTTTACAGCACATAAACCTATGCTTAATGGTTTTTGATCAAAATATTTTTGAAGGTCAGTGGCCATCAAATATGCCTCAACATAAATATATTTATTTATTAAACTATGCTAAATGTATTTCAGCATTTATTGATCTATAATCTATTTAGTTAATAACCTTAATTCCTAGGAGATGCATGTTAAGGAGGAATAAACTATACTAAAAGAGTAATTTCTACAGGTTATCTGGCAAGGCAGTGAGGATGAGGCATAAAACAGCAGGAGTGAATTTAAACCTGCAGGAAATGTTGGGTGTAGAATTAACTGGAATGGGAGAAGAAAGGAAACCATGGGTAAAAAGTATACACAAGGTAGGCAGGAAAAGTCATGAGATATACATTAGGTAGAAAAGTATTGGGTGGAAAAAGTTGCCCCATTTCATCCTCCTCAGCTTCAGCTTCAAAATTCTGTGAAGGAAAATGTGTGTGGCAGGGACAGAAGAAGAAGAGGGTCCAAGCAGCAACATGGACCCCACCACACAATGGATGATGGCTGTCACAATCTCAACAGACAAATAACTTCCTAAATTGGTGGTAATTGTGAGTGATATTTGTACTCACTTCATCAGAAGATTTCACACTAATTTGTGAATTCATATTGAAAGGTTGAAAACTCAAAGTAAAGTAGATGAAGTAAAATACTTCAAGTCTCAGCAAAATTAAACACATCTTTGCATGACTGTGCCAAGGAAAAAAATGTGGATTTTCACTTGTGATAATATATAGAGAGAATTTGCACAATGAGGTGTGTTGCATTCATATTGTTAGAGTGGTTTGCTACACGATATGTCATCATGAATTAGTACAATTTAATGTGAATTTTGGGTGGAAATTTCAGAAGACCGCTGGCTTGCGGGTTTGTCAGTCAGAAAGTTTTGACTTCAAGAGGAAAATAGCTAATCTGTGTACAGAGGTGAGATATAGTATCAGAATTCATATATTTAAAACACACACACAGAAATATAAATGTTAGAAAACTTAAGACTTATGTTTGAGATAATAATTACATTTTCTAATATGAAAAAGTTATTATTCAATTATCATAATATAGCTATACAACAAATGTGCTTGCAGGTAGTTATTTTATTTTCATAACTTTTACTACTTATTAGAACTGATCCAAATATTCATAACCATGCCTGAATTATCAGCTGGTGTAAGAATGTCAGTGCCCCTTGATGGTCACTGGCTAAACACTAGAACCGACTGTTATTTTTTATTAATTATTTCTAGCCTTTTGATTTTGATGATTGAAATAAATCTTCAGATTTCCAGGCAAAAATAATGTTTTAACAATACTCAGTGCAGGAAATATATGCAAAAATACAATAAAACAATAAATATGCAAACTTCCAAAATTTGCCACTAAATATTCCAACAATATTATGCAACTTAGAGATGCTATAGAGGTTAAGACAATTCCTTCTGTATTAATTTGCATGCGTATAAAAGGTTCCCCAGCTAGGATGTATTAAAAAAGAAATCACCAGTAGTATTGTTTAGTGCTAAACCTATGATATTAATCAATATGATGCTACAGCTTGTGAGTGGAAGCCTCATGATAATGATAGTATTTTGCAGATGTCTTATGATTATAATAATGAGGTGTTCTTAGGGGACAGGATGGCATTACATGTGTGTGTGTGTGTGTGTAGCATTACAACCCAAATATACCCACTTTATACTTGTGTGAAATGTAAACTTTCTTGTAGTCACCATTGTAATTACATACAATGTATGGTACGAGTTCTTTCAATGGTTATTTTGTGCTGCACAGGACAACATCTATTGCTATGGTGTGAACATCCTTCCAAGCTGGCAAAGCATAATTATAATTAATTATACTTATCAACATATATTAGTATTAGGCTTATTACCTTTTTTGCACTGCATTCTTTATCTAGTCCCTCAAGGATTTTCAAGAGTTGGAAGAGTATATAATAATAGTATTCCAACCAAACTATATTCACCAAATTTAGAATGATTGAGGTTTGATGGACAATCATTGTCAGGAATGTAGGAAAGTGTTGGAAATCATAATTGCAATACATTTTCAATGACTAAACAGCATTTGGAGTGGCCACATGTAAAGGAGCATCTTTAACAAGATGTTCAGCATGCTTTTTAGTATTATTATTATTAATATGGGTACTTTAAACAGGCTAGGATAACAGTTCCCAAACTATGGGTCAAAAGAGGTATTAAGATGAGTTGCAGAACAAGACACAATAAATTGTTTGTTTGTTGAATTTTAGATACATTACATATTCTGATATATTGTTACAAATTGTTTTTATATAACTTTCACTTTATTTCAAAGCAATGAATGTGTTGCTTGTGTTTTGTAGTACCACATGCTTGGAAAGTGTGAAGAGTTCATTTCTTTATTAGAAGCATCTAAGTCAGTGATCCTCCCTCTGTTGTATGCATACCACTGGTAGTGTATAGAGCTAATGTCAGTGGTACATGAAAAAATTACCTTTCAAATTTCACCACATATTCTATGATAGTGCCAGAAAATACAATCACAGCTTTCCCACTAATGGGCGAGTGTTAAAAATTTTAATTTTTAGCTATTACATTAATTTTTTCAAAATAGGCCTGGGGTTAAACAGAAAGTGGTGTGCAGGCTTGCAAATCACTGATCTAAATTACTGAACATTTAAAACCTATACATAGTGACAGAGTCTAAGGAGATTTTTGTGCATAACTTGATGTCTAAGTATTGAAGAATGAGTCAGTAACACATGCAGTTTAGGTACATGAATAAAATACAAAGATGGAAGGTGTGAGCTTATAAGTCATACAATTTGAAACACTTACAAATTAACTTGTGCATAATTTTGCTCACCTATTTCATATATTTCCATAAATTTTAAGCACTGGATGCATGCTTTTTTTAACACTCATTAGATGCTATCAGAATTTGCTCAAATAAATACCTCAAACTGAGCTGATACTTTAACAAATATTTTTTTCATTGATTTTATTCTTACACTTTAGTTTTTAACCACTACATCTTGCACCTTTTAATAAATAACCTAAACAGTCAAGAATTATTGGAACAAAGTTTTATGCTAATAGAGAAATTTTCAGAGAGTCAAACTAAACCTACCAAGTGTTGGTATTAAATATGTAACCTATTGTAAATCTATATGCCAGATTAGTTCATGAAACATAAATAAAGAACTCAGCATATATTTGAATTATTAAATTTTCCAATTTCTAAAATTATTTTTTAATCATATTTTTATTATAAATGTTTACTTTGATAACATAACTGGTGATTATTCTCTGAACTTTTAATAGTGAAATTGTACTTATAAATTGTTCCTGATGAAGCTCTAAAGCAAAATATTAAGCAAAAAATTGCACATTCTGGAGGTAGAGACCATTTTATTCACATTATGGTTTAAACTAGCATTTGAAAAAAATGCTTAATATTCACATTTGAATTGAGTTGAACAGGTGATGGCTATTTCTCTAGCAATAGCCAAAATCACTTTACACTATTGCTGTGAAAACTTACCATTATGATCATCCAGTTTTCCAGAGAAATATACTTGGTATAATGGCTGTTCCAAATGTAAAGCTTCATTTCCTGGCATGCTCATAGGTACTGTAAATTGACACCACAAGTGATCCTTATATAATTCTTGTATTTTTTCCTCCAGAATCTATAATGTCAGCATTCAGACTTGAGTTATACACATACAATAACCATAGTGTGTACCTAAACCTTGATAAAGTTTTACATTTTCTAAGATGATATTTAATAGTATTAAAAATAAATGACATCATTATAACGTTGCAATATGCAGTATTTTAATTTCAATGTAATATGAATATATATTTCAAAAGTGCAGAGCATTAAATATTACAAACGTTATGTACACAAGCATAAAAGAATGGAATTTTTTAAAGATTTTTTTACTTAATTTATATTGACCTCAAGTAATTCATGTTTGTATGAAAAATGGTCATTTTCACATATCCCTGTAATAATATTACACATGCATTACTTTCAAGCAAGGTATACTGAATTCTCACAAAATAATATGGCACTTATCGTGCTATTCTTCACACCTCCCATGTAATTACTGCCGATATAACAGTATGAACTTAATGTTATCAGAAGATTTTCTATTGGTGACATATTGAAAGTTCAATTTAGGTTTGAGTTTTTTTTAACCCTATGTGTATGAATGGAGGTCAGCGTGTGCATGTCACATTTTACGGTTACATTCAAACTTTAATTAAAGAAATTTATTATTAATTTATGTCAATAAGCTTGGCATAGAAATAAAATAAATATATCAAATTTTATTATTATACAAGTTTAAATTTCTTAATATTAAAATAGAATATTTAAATAAACACATCACTTCAAAATACAATACAAGCAATGCTTACTTTATATTCAAGAAGAAAAATCAGCTAAAAAAAACTGCTGTGGTACAATGAAATCATAAACAAAAATGGAAAAACTTATACCACAAAATGTTTTTAAATTACCATAGGAAGAGTGTCCCAGCCTGAAACTTGTGAATGTTAAAACTTCTATTTCACATCAGCCATTTTTCTTGGTACAAATTTTTTCCATCTTTTATTTTCGAAGGCTTACTTTATATCTCACAGTTATTATATACACCTATCTCCTTTATTTACATATGCATTTTCTAACAACCGACAATACAAAAATACATTTCTTAAAGTTTCTTTATTTAGAAAGTTGTGTAAACACAGATATAAACTAAAAAAAAAAAGAGCATCAAAATTACTTGGATAACTCATTATTATTTAATTTGAGGGCCTAACTGGTTCAATATTTATCTAACCACCATTCAAGGCCATTGTTTCTTTTATATTTTATATCTAATTTTATGTATACTGCTGCACATTATATGCAGAAAATTGATTCTAGTCAAAGTTGGCTCACTTTGTTATACCAATTGCAGTGAAAAGTGAATATTAAAATTTGAATTTTGAATGCTCTAAAGCACACAATGAAATACATACACAGAGCATGTTAGAAGATTTACAATCTATCTAATTTTAAATATATGGGCTGAGGCAATAATCTTGATATATCAGCTCATCCGAATTAGTTAGTGTATTTTGTTGTAAAATAGAGGACCAATTTAATAAGCTATTGCATTTTACTAAATGGCTGATTATTCAAAACCCAACACATGGGCAGTTTCTTCTAGGATATGTAAAAAACTGATAAGGTAAATTTGTCACACATTTAGAAAACGTTTGTAGTGTAGAACTGTACGATTTTTAAGGAGCTTATAAATTTTGAAAAAAAAAACCTAAAACTCTAGTGCTTTCAAATTTTAAAGTGCTCAAGCTTGGATCTTTTTTTTAAAAATTCATTGCACCTTTTTTGTGTGATCCTGAGTGCTAACCCTTATCAGAATTTTTGTTTGGGGTTTTATAGTAGTATTACACATGTAAAATAATATAGTATGGTAAGAAAAAATTTACAGTAAAAATGAATAAACTATATAAATTATATTTCTTTATGCATGCATAAATAATGCTTGATATCTTTTGCATTTTCATATGAATTTGTATGATTCAAAGAAAAGAGATGACTAGTAATTATTGAGAGTTCTTATTTAACAGTCATTCTAACCTATATTATATCCAATTTATCTGGTTTTTCCACGTCAATTCCTTTGTGACTTCTGTCTTGTGTTCAAAATCCATTTCCTTTTCAAATGTAATGAATGGTTCAACTGCATAAGCTTCAATATGAAGGAAGTGAGCAGGAGCATGCAAGTAAGAGACAGTGAACATTGTTTAATTTATGGTTTATATAGGCAGAGAATGATTAATATAATTTGAAATTGACTGAAAAATGTGAAGATTGCACTGCAAAGTTAAGTGCAGCATTTGAAACAAGAAACTGCAGTGAAGTAAAGGGCATTGAAGGTCATAATAAAGGTGCTAATGGTGAGGGAAAACTGTAGCATTCATCACTCCCACATCTCTGAAGTTCTACTGGTTTAAGAAATATTCATTTTTATTAAGAAAAACAAAAAATTGGGAGAATGTATTTCATCATTTAATATGTAAAGAACAAAGAAATGTTAACAAACTAACATTAGGCCAAAAAAAAGGAAATCTAGTACAGACTTTAAACATACAATATCACAAAAGTTGGCAGTTCAAGCATCATTTGAAAAATCGAAGCACTCATAAAAAAAAAAAAGAGTTTGAACAATTTAAGGATAAAGAGAAAGGCATGCTTGCCTTATGAAGATATCAAAGTTACTTTGGATTATTACATCCCCTTGTTAACTCTTCCTTGATGGTTGAGCTGTCAAACTCTTGGTTGTAGGATTTGTAGGTTAGAATTTAAATCTTCTAAAGGTTATTTTACTAGTAATAGAGTAATCTTTGAAATATTTAAATACAATTGGGTTAGAATTTTGTTGATAGAATTAGAAAAATGTTCTGATGATTGCTGTACACAGTAACAAAGATGTTTAATATGGAATATGAGCACAGCACCTAATAGGATTGTAGAGTATTACCAAAATACTAGTTTGTATTCTTAATTTAATGCTAGTATCTTCGGATAAAACAGGGTCAACATCATATACATCAGCAAGCAACCAATCTGATCTTCTGGTGGCAGTGGCTGTTATTGTTGAGGAAGTTGCACATAAGAAGTTGACTGAAAGTGTACACACTGGAGTAATCACTGATGAATCCACTGACATTTCAACTGAGAAGAAGCTAACCCAAAGTTGTAAATCTATCTTAGGAAGAGGCTGAAACCACTTACGTCAAAGATACTGATACTGGTAATGGAAAAAATGCTTATCTCTTTACAACACTGGCTAATATACTGCTAAAGAAGTTTACCATCCTGATTTTTAAAGTATATGCATTAGGAATTGACAATGATAGGAAAAAACAATGATGTGACAATATACCTCAGAAATGCAAATCCTTATTTGGTAAACTGTCACTGTGCTGGTCACCACTGTGCATTATGCATCTTCCAGCAAATTGGGTCATACAGAGACTCCTTATGCACTGTGTATAGTTTTATGACAGTTCTTTTCTTAGAGAGAAAATACTTCTAGATTTTCAGGAACTGTTTTAAGATTCCAAAGTTCCTGTAAAGCTAAAGCAATTACACCAAGTGAACTGGTTAAGTGTGAATGTGTTGGATACATGTATTGGGCCTGGAATGGTGTTTGTTTCATCTTTGGATGATGAATCTTGTGGTCAAGGATGACATCCATCACCTGTAGCTAAATATCTTTTTAAGCAAGTGGCACTGTGTGGAAATATTTTTTTTCTAATGGCTATGTGATACATCATTTGTTGCATCTCGGCTAATTAAAAGATTTCAAGCTAGAGATGTTGATTTGTCTTGTATTCAGCCAGCAGTCGACTTAGCCATTTAATAACTTGAAATAAATGAAAGATGAGCCAAAATAAATAGAGAAACATTCTAATTGGAAATAAAATTACTCAAACAAAAACTGAGGATTCTAACACTGCATGAAAATTCATGGATGCAATTTGCAAAAACATAAATGATTCCTGTTTTAGCTGCAATAGACAAAATCGTGAATCCAAGAAAGCTGCCAGTTACGGCAAATGACTTTAGAAGTCACAGGTAAAAATATATTTAAACTTAATAATTAATCATTACTATTACAGATCTAACATGCAGGGGTTTAATTCACTTGTAGATGCCTTAATAACTGAATGGAAAGTGTAATAATAAAGGTAAATCTTTCAGTCATGATACATGTTTTGATGTTAACTGCTTTTATCATATAAAATTGTCTAATTTCTGAATAATATAACAATTATTAATCAATTATGAAGTCAATAAATAAGATATATATAAAAAGCAAGTTACTTAGTGTACCTACTAACAACTTGCTCTTCACAACTCAACCAGTAAATTACCTGTTTTAAGCAAATTTTTTTGACATCCTGAACAAAAACTTTCACATAGAAAAGTATTGGTTTAACTAATCTATTGATCTGTATCAACTCCATAACATAACATTGACAGTTCTTAATCTTTGCAGATTAAGTAAAACCAGTTAATTAGTAATGAACCTGTTCAAGCATGATGAGTAACTGATGTTAGAAACATTTCTACCAAGATAGGTTGTACAACAATCTGATAAAAAAAAATCCAAAGATTAATTCTTATCAGTAAAATTCATACAATCCACTGACAATTATAAATCAATTTTGACAACAGTATCACTCAGCAGCAGTAATTTACTATCAATGACAATTATCACCTTAAGCTATTTACTACTACCTAAGCCCACATCCTTCTGCAGTTCCATTGGATGTGGGCATACTGGTAATTAGAAAGTTTGCAAGCTAAAGCATCTCATCCCACTCACGAGCAGGAAGCTCACATTTTCTGTTCCACTTCCAGTGGAGCATTGCTTTTTTTGTCTGTACTAAATATGAAGTGTTTTGACAAAATATTAACAGCTATGATGCCATTAAGTTCACAATACTAAATATTAATGGTATGAAAAGTATAATTATTATTTCACAAGCTTTCCAACAGCTTACCATAAAAGTTACAGTATGATAAAGATGAAACTAAATTTGCTTACAAGTAACATATTCAGTTTAAATTTAAACCAACACACTCTATAAACAAATCTATATAATAATATCAAAGTATGCTAACTTTGCATAATCTGTTAATAACAGCTTCACAAATTTTATACCTTGGACACTGTGTATATTGTTTATACATGCATAATTATCACATAGATTATCATCAATAAACTCCTGAATTACACATGTGAATATTCTTTGAATTTAAATACATTTATACTTACTCCACTTTTCTCAACAGGTTTTTCCTCTAAAGTATTGACCACGAAGAGTGAAGTGTCAGTTAAGTCACCAGATCGGAAACAGGCCAACACTGTCAGTTTACTTAGCTGAGAAGGGAACAATGTACAACAAATATCAACATTATTCTAAAGGACTATACTGAAATAGTACTACATGTGTGTAAATTATATATACATACAGAATCATAAGGAAGGTTTTCTTTTAAAACATTATTTGTCACAGCTAAAGGAGGTGTTATTAGACAATAAAAAACAACAAAATTACAAAAAATTCACAACATGTGATCACTTACTGAAGTTAAAAACAAAAGACAATATATAGTAACTGCAAAAGCATCTCATATGTCATAGAAAACACTGTAACAAAGACAGGAACTATTACCCTTTGATTTTTTAAACCTTTACATTCAATTATGCAAGATTCATGCAAGTATTTACTGATTTCACAACTTTTTTAGTGCATGTGAGAAAAAATTCTTTAGCATAAAAATATTGTCTGATTTACAAACTCCAAACAATAAGGTAAGCTAAAATAATCATAGAATATTTAAAATTTGGATTAAAAAACAACAAAGGAAATACAAAATAGAGGTGACAAAGCATTAAGGTGAACAACGTATCACAGCATGCAGTACATTTCAAAAATAAATTACTAAGTATATATGAAGATCATATTTAAGTGACAGTATTTGAAGTTTGGAAATCTAATGCCTAGGAAGTCACAAATTTCTATACTGTAGTTTTAACTGACAGCAGAGCTGTAGTCGTATTTTATGGGATTGTTTGAACTCATTATCAAATTATACAATTTTGAAAAACTCATTTGTCATTGGTGTCAATAAAGCAGAAATCTCCATTAATGACTGGTGATTATAATTGATTAATTTAAAATTCTGCTGGTGCTAGATGATGTGAAAGTCCAACAAGTATTTTACATAGTTTAAATATGGCAAAATCAAAAATTAAGTCTGTAATACAAGTTAAAACAGTAATAGCACTTTATATGTGTATCTTATATTCTTTTTAGCCACAGCATAGCAGCTCACAGAATGGCTCCAAGTCTTTTTTCAAGTACAAAGTTCTAATTCATAGCTCTATTTCTAGACTGATTTGAGATGTAATTAAAGCCATAGCTATTAAGAATTCCCTCAGTTAAGAAACAATACATGTTAATAAATTTATTATTTTACAAAAAACATGCACATGTACATGTAACATTTCAAAAATACTACTGAAATAATTTTATTGTGTTAATTATAATAATTTGAGTAATTTGATGAATAGTTACAGAAGTGATTTTTTTTTCAACTTCACAAAAAGAACTAATATTTTTGTGTGTGTGTACCAGAATAAGCATGAATTAAGTGTGCTAAAGCAAAAGGTAAGAAGAAGCAACTAGCACATATCCCACAGATACAGTTGTAAAATATTTCCTTTGAAAGAGTACTACTGATTAGGTAAACTAACAAAAGTATGATTACTGAAAAACAGTCATCTAATGTGCTTAAATTCAAAGATAGAAAAGAGAGAAATACAAATTCCTTTTTTTTCAGGATAAGATGATTATATTAAAACAATACATGAAAGGATTTTTTAATTTCAATTTTACTGAGGGATTCGAGCTACATTTAATCTTCAAGAAGCTAAAACTGGGATTCACACATGTATTAATTTAAGGATATTTGCTTCTTTTGGTTAAGCAAATGCATTTATATTTATAAAGTTACTAGTTTATGATAATATCTTGTGAAAAGTAATCTATGGAGTACTGTACATGCTATGTAATTCTTTCTATCAAACATTTTTTTTTATTAAAAGTATAGTCTAACTTACAACATCTAAGCTCTGGCAAAACTTTATAAAGTTACATAATCCTTATATTCAGGCAAATTTATTTCTTTAATAAAAATTTTACTAGACCAGTTTTCAACAATGATTATGATAAAATGGGAATAATGCAAAACCAAAATATAAATTCAGGAATAATTATTTTATGAGTCAAGCAAATGCTTATCTGAAAGAAAATGAGTGTATCAAATAATACCAAAATTCAAATATCTATTACATACGTGCATACATAAAAATAAATACACATATCTACATATGTTTCACATGGCTTAATGATAATATTTTAATTTATACATATGCATAGTAATAAAAGTTCTATAAAGATAATTTAGTATTTATTTATTAATATGGGAAGAAATACATGTTTTTTTCACCAAACAAAAGTGGCTAAGTTCTAGTACACTTGGGAATATTTTATGAAGCCTTCATCAGCAAAGAATATCAGTACTTCATTGTCTAGTTGTTTAAAAAAAAATAATTATCTTATTAGTTGTACTATTGTGGAATGATTTTTCTACTAATGTTGGTGTGTATTTGTGTGTGTGCTGTATATAGATGAGAATGGCTACATGCAATTTAATTTTGGTTACTGATTTGGTGAGTGGAAAGGTGACCTCAGTGGGCTGAATGGCTTTCTGTTTTCTGTTGTTTTGACTATTTTGAAGATTTTTTTTTCTTGTAAAATACTTTTTTCTTATATAAGAGCAGCCCTGGTATTTTGTAATAAAGAAAGGCTTTTGATGCAATCACTATTTTACATATACATGAAGAAAAACATACATCTCCATAAATAATTTTAAGAGGAAATTGACTAAATTGCTTATTTACTTGATTTTGCACAAAGCAATCTATTTTTCCATTCACATTATGCATGTTTGTATTCATAAAATATACTACATCAGAGAAAGATTACTACATAAATGTCTACAATATTGATATTTATCAAGATAATATAAAACTTACTAACAAAAATATTATTACATACTAATTGCGATTCAATCTACATGTGCACAATAAACTTAAACAATTTTTATTTATTTACTTTAATGATGAAAAGTGTTACACTTGGTAAGATAAATAAGTTTATTTTTGTCACAGAAAAAAATAACAGTTCCCATTTTAGCAAAAATCAAGAGAAACATCTTACTGGCAGTTGCTGTATGGTCTTACTAACATTTCTAGTAGTCTTGGATACAGCATCCATTAAGTGTTAAGTGCAAAGATCCATTCTCATCAAACTCCTATCTATTCATTTCTGACTGAACTATGATGTTTGGTCTGTTGTTTACAAAAACTTCTTGTTTTTAATCAAATTACATTTACTAATTTCTTAGCCAGTTAATATATATTGTATCAGGATTAAAATTCTTACAGAATGGTTTTCAGCACATTCATATATGTAATCCAAACACTTGTTTATTACAGATAGCTGTCAACCTACTTCAGGAGTCGTCATCAGGCTCAATGAACAACATAAGCCTACAGGTGTAATTACAAAAGTTTAAAAAAGACAATTCTGAGCATGTTTTGAAATACATTTTTATACTGTTGAAAATGCAAAAATGATTAGAAATGTAATAGCCATGTTACATAATATAGAATGTACACTGAGAGGACCTAGAAAAATAACAAATGAAATGCATAATGTATATATACAAATAGCTATAACATAATTATATGGTAATTTATATTTAACTTTGTAATTGAAATTCATTGTGTAATGTTATTATGCAATTTTTTTGTATTAAACAGCTAAGATAAAAAAACAAAAAACATGCTATTCCAAATATCTAGTTTTGTGTAGAAGACAGCCTTGTGTGTACCTTATAAAATATGTGTAATTAGCACTCTATTTCATCAATGTAAATGTTCTTGCATCCACAGGTTACTTTGTAAACCATATTCTTCTGATAGGTGTTTGTGTTTTAACATTCATAAGAAAATAGCAAAATGTTGTAGGTAATCTACAAATAGTGGTTGTATTATATCTTTCTAATAAACAAGTCATTATTTTCAACTGCTGACAACTATATATTTATTTCATGGTTTCCATTACATATACATGAGAAAAAAATATGTTTAAAAAAAAGCATGAAGTGCACATAGTATTATATCAAATTGCCATTTATTTGCTTCTGCACTAAATAAATGTTTTCATTTCACATATTCTATATTTATACATACCTTTTCTTTGTCAGCTGTAAAAGCTACAGCAAGATAGCCTTTATCTATGTTGGGAAGGATGCCTCCCATTGCAATTCCTATACTTTTTTGTTGAGGCAGTGTCATGAAAGTTAGGACATAATCATAGGACTGAGATATCTGAGTCTTTGCTTCTTTTTTACCTATACAAACACAACTCTTCTTTGTTGCACAATCTTGTAGACTCAAAGCTATGATAAAAAATAATAATTTTGATACAGAAATTTTATATCAGATGAAACATAATAGACAAATAAAACATGTGAGCATACAAAGGATCAAGGAAAAAGTTCTGGCTAAATTATACATACTTGTATTTGAATTAAATGGGTAATTATTATAGATATATATACAGAGAAATATGTGTGAGATAATGAAATAACATCAGATGTATAAATGGAATAATAAATTAACCCTTTTGTGGCAGACACAGTATAAAATACACAAGTTTGTATATACACTTGCACACGTTAAGTATTTATACTATAACTTTTAATGCAGTGTATATCTTCACAAAGTTTAGTACACTTTCAGTAAACATTACAAGTCATTTGTGCAGAAAAAATCAGATTTTTAATGAAATGCTTTTTACTAAATATTTGTTTGTGAAAAGTGATTTTCATGTTATAATTAAAAAACTATTCTTCATCTTAAAAATCTGAAATATCATTTGTAAAATCTCTAAAACCTCCTAAGTACATTGTTTGTTTTCAGTAAAACTTTCTAAATTCTGTTATTTTTTCTACCCTAACTCTATACAGGGTCGGTCAATTTGACTGACCTCATACATAACCACCATAAAAAATTAAGAAATAAATATAAATTATGTTTTCTTCATTCTAGAATGACTACAAATTATAAAACAAAAACACGGATGTTTACTTTAAATAACTTAAATCTCATAATATTATACATTTATATATATTTATGATTTTTATTATATTGACCTTTTCAGCCATGCCTGGCTAACATTACAGAAGTTGCAATGATGTGGCACATGTGCACTCATGTTACCATATCCAAGAATATAAAACTGGCCTTTACAGAGTGACCTGTCTTGGCTGTGGTTTAAGTGGACTAGTATCTTGTAAGATACAGTCACATTTCAGTTATACTACATTACGTATGTATATACATTATTACTATCTACATACAAGTCCTTAAACTTATTTTTCTTAAAACATAGAATAGTAAGTAAAGTAAAGCAAACAATTATCTCTTCTAGTTAAGAACATTGTACTCGTTTGCTGCTTGCCATATGTTGCTAAGCCTTATCAAATTTCACAAGTGGGGGATGTGAAACAAAATTATTTTTATTTCTATTTTATATATATATTTAAATTACCCAAAAATCAAAAATTACTACATCAATATCATAGAATTCCACTATAGTTTATCAAGCTTAGTAACTAAAATGTATTTGGGTATATATATATATATATATATAAATAAAAAAAAGAACAACAACAACACACACACACACAAAATTTCGAGCTTGCCATACAGTTTGAAATCTGCCATGAAAAGGAAGGGTTTCCAGCATAAGTATTTGCCAAAGGCCCAGAGAACCACGTGGATGACATTCTGTGGTATTGATTGGTTATTCATGTGTCATAAACAGAAGTAGGTGTATGTAAGCAATTCTTTCCAAAAATGGACAGAGGAGGGTGGGGCCACTAAGTTTGATTCAGTACATGTAGCGATATCTCAGCAAATAGAAAAGATAGGAGATTCTTATTTTATATTCTAGCTTGTCAATATTGGTAATTTGAGTTTCTAATTCATAAGAAACTATAGACTTTGTATTTGAATATCACATACATCTAACTTGAATCAATGCTGCATTCAACAAACCACATGACACACAAAAATCAATATTTATGTTTTTTTATAATTTACTTTTAAATTAAGAAATTTACTAATGTATAATACTAAAACTTGAATTATAATCCACAATTTGATACTAATCTTATTGACATAAATTCATAAAATAGTAGTTGAATAAAATTTTGAGTGCGAGTCAACAAATGCGATGACAAGGCCTCTGACCCATGTTGATAGGGCTAATAGCAAAAGCTATATCACAACAATGTGAGAATGATACAGCATTCTTTATTATACAGGTGTTACACACACATTTCATATGCCAATGCAAAAATGTTGGAAAGAAAAAGAGAATAAAATAAAATTCTCTGTAAAAAAATAGTAGTGCACTATGATTTTGTAGTTAAAACACTTATTATATCTCAACAGTTCAGCACAAATTAAAATGTTTGGAAAAATTACTTCATGTACTGTAACTTAACATTTTCTTATACTGAAAATGTATTTCTTATAAGTACTTACCTCACTCTCACCTAAAGCTATCTTGATCTTGGTTTGCCCTCTAAGCATTGCTAAACAATTTTCGCTAACAATGCACCAGTCTTATATACCCATTAAAGAACATGCTATGATCATGTGACTATCCTCCACCAATCATACTATGCCATCTATACTAGTGCAGCTAGCTCACTCTACTATTCTAGCAAATTCTCACTTTTAAGAAATGGCAGGTACAAACTAAAAACACCAGCATATCAGGGGGAATGAAGGATGGAAAATGAGTGAGCAAAGATATTTTCAGTGTAAGTAAATGTTAACTTACAAAATGGTACTACCTCTACTCACCCAAAGCTAGAATCCCATATTACAAAGGTGGTGGTGGGGGGGGGGGGGGCTGGTGAAGGCACTACAGTATTCAATCAAGCAGAGAGCAACTGCCTTGAAAGAACAGTTGTGCTATAATATGAAAAGAAGGCACACCTGTGTGCTCTTCATCCAGTAACAAACACAGTAATACATATAGGACAGAATGTAATAGGGAGGCACCATAGCTTCAATAAAGAGATATACAGCTCTGTTCTGTGGAGAAGTGCTGTATAACTATGATGCCAAACAGCACAGCATGGACAAAAACAGAATGTCTAGTGTATAATCAACAACAGGCCCACATAAATATGTGTTAAGGGTAGAGTCTTGGGGCATACTAGAGCATGTCAATTGCTGTCCAACCAGGCAAAACATCCAGTGGAAACGCCTTGTCTGGAATAATGTGAGCAATAAGAGAGATCCTCCCCATCAAAGAAATAAAAAATCTAGGGGAGCACCATGAATAAGTAGTTTGATGAAAAATTGTCAGGTAATTCAGAATCAACCCATTTTCAACAGATAGTGCATAATTCAATCACATATGTAGTAAGTGTCAGCATGAGACATAGTGATAGTTAGTCATGGTAAGGTGCCTGATAATGTAATATAAGTATATGTAGTTAGAGCTAAAGGACCAATCACTTCCACATGTGCAAAAACATCCAGGAGAAGCACCTTGGGATACGTCAGATTATGCCAAGTGCGGACCAGCTGGGCAAAAACGTCCAAGGGAAGTGAATTTGATATATAATATTAAGGCCAAGTGTGGTTCATCCGGGTAAAAAACATCCAGTGGAAGCACCTTGCATAAGAAATTTATTTTGTGAACAACAAGTAAGGGCAGCCCAGGCAAAAAGATCTAGGGGAAGTGCATTGGATCCAGAATATTATGTTATTGCATAATCAATAAGTATAATGATGATAGCCCTCTTCTTACTGAGCAGGTACATATGAGCTATGAAGTTTAATTTAATTTATTGTACAAACCCCACTCAGCAAAAAACATTCATGGTTCAGGAACCAGAAGTAGCAAGCATTCCTGTGCTCCACTAGAAGAAAAAGAGGGAGAGTAACGCATTGGGAAATCTGGAGAAACGATATATAGAAGACAGTGCAATGGGTGCCTGTGATGCCCTATTTTGAAAAGCAGAAATATCCCAATTGTAAGAATCACAGATCAGTAGGGATGGGCTGAAATCCCTATCTATGAATGAGTGATGGTTTGTTACGTAAGAAATGGAGATAAGTGGCTGGTGGTCTTACAGAAACACCCCATCTCAACAGTGAGCATTATAAGAGTATAAAGATTTAGTATTATTTAATAATAAGCATACCTGACTAGGCAACATCCACCACCAGATGGGATACTAAATATGATGTACATCAAAGAAATAAGATAAAAAAACAATATGTTGATTCACCCCAATCTGAGGCAAATAGACGTGTAGAAATGCCACAGGAGGAAGATGATACCCAACCAAGGAAGACACAGATAGATTGTGCAGATAATGTGCAACAAATTTATTGGGAGTTGTCCACGTACCAAGCTGGATGATCTCCTCCAAAGGACAGTGGTTTTGAGCAGCTACAGACATAGATGACAAAGCTTTCTTACATGTTTAAATAAACAATCTATTTCCCACATCTATTTACCATAAGAAAAACATTTACTGGAATATACACTCGTTTCAACAGTTTCATACCAGACTCTTTCAAACATAACTTTGTTCTAAATCTGCTGAACAGAACCTATAATCTCACTTCTGTCTTCACTCAGAAATTTCAAAAATTCATGACTTATTACAAAGCAATGGTTATCCCATTAATTTCTTACACTCTATCACATAAAAAGTTTTAACAAAGAAATAGAACCTACCACAAAGCCATACACTTTCCCAAAATATCCACTAGTTCTTATCATTTCTTTCATTGACAAACAAAGTTTTAAACTCAAATATCATATTCAAAAAATAATCAAAACATATTACCAACAAATTAAGCTACGTTTAATATTTACGTCAACATTTAAAATTAAAAATATGTTTAAAACTAAAGACGGTCTACCCATTCCTATGCGCTTGTGAGTCATATATAAATACACTTGTGTTAGCTATAAAGCTACGCATATTGGTAAAACTAAATATTACCTACAAATATGTGCACACAAGCACATGTGAATTTCAACAAGAAGCGGATGTAAAACAAGTAATCCACCCGAGTCTTGTATCCGATTGCACAGTGAGAATAACAACCACCCCATACTTCTAGAAAACTTTAAAATTCTCAACTCTGGAGCCACAGATTACAAACTCTTTATTATAGAAAGCCTCTCTATTTTCAATGATCACCCAACACTAAATAACAACATCAACTCTCCTTGTTATCATTAATGTAATCAATTCTGGATTCTCAGTGTTTTATTTGATATTTATTATTACTTTAAAGATACAGTGTTTATACTTATATTTAAGCCCTTCTCTATAATAGTTTTTCTTAACAATTTTATATATTAAACATGTGTATGCTGCATGTTTAATCATATATTCCATTATTTTGTTACTGTTTAAATCTGTTATTTCTAAACTTCCAATTGATTACACAAACTCATTCTATGCTAATGTTGTTTTTCTAGTTCAAGTATATGAACTAACTTTTTTTTTAGATATTAACTCTGATGATGGAATTTAAGGTAATTTGGTATTACCATTTTTTAATATTTATTATAAAATATTTTAGGGTTAAAAAACTGTTGAATAAGAATTATTCTTTATACTTAAAAGTTTAAAATTTGATATGCAGGTGGTCATGATGGGGTTAAATTATCAAAAAATAAATTTTCTGAAACACCTTTATTAAACAAAGATTAATTTTGTTGTGTATACAGTTTTATCTGATAAATAGATAATAATAAACATTTCAACAAAATTTGGCAGATGTTTGTATCCAATGCATATTTTATTTTAAAATTATTACAGAATGAAAAGTATCAGCTTTAAAGTCTCCAATTTTTAATACAGACCACAAGTTTGCAATAAATACATGTACAAGGTTTGACAAATGCAACAAATAAATTTTAACATGGTGAGAGATCACAGTATAAGAATTTTCTTTTTTTTAACTAAGAATTTGAAGCTTCCATAATAATAGATTTATCAAACCTTGAAATTCTTAAATCATCATTCAAATTCATATACAAGACAAAACAAAAGCATGATTTAATACTCACGAAATTGAGAAACTAATCTAACAGATTTGCTTCCAACTTTTTCCCAGATTTCTCTAGAAGTGATGAAAGTAGCTCTGAAAACAAAAAACAAAAGAACAGTTACAATATCCTTATACCATGAGATGTATACTTTCATTATTGTATTTTAAACAAAGATTTAAAACCAGAATTTATAGTATTATAATCTGTTCAAATATACACCAATGACTAGTCTTTGTTCTTGACAAACACACAATATGTCTTCAGAAGTCAAATATATTAATATAACTATAACTATTCAATGCAGCCAATAAGAAATAACTACTCCATTTAAAAATGTTTTTTTTTTTATATGTGGTTATTAAATGTCAGGTCGTATAGGACTGTGATTCTTTTACAGTGGGTGTCTGTGACTTGTTGATGATAAATTTCAACAATAAACAAATGACACATAGTCCACTTGTTTTAAAATAATATATTTACACAAGTCAACTTTTACTACCTTTCACTGTCTATAGCCAGTTGTGGGAAGGCAGTTACCCTTAAATTTTATAAAATAGAAATGTACTGAAATGAAGCCACCTTAATATTTCTACTAATTAAACTCCAAATCTCCACCCTTACGAAAATATATTATATAGAACTATAAAATATTGAATAGAACTAAAGAGAACCTATAAGATATTAAACAGAACTATACACCCTACCTTAAAAGTTTTTACACAGTTCTAACTCCCAACCTCCTTCCTTTCTTATGAAGATTTATTTAAGTATAACATAGGAATGTCGAGACAAGCCCAGCTACTTGAAGTTAGACTTTCCATCCCAGTTATACTGAATAAAGTTACTTGAAAAATTGCTATTAGCCTCCCTCTTTATTATATATATTTTTTATAAGATATTTTCCTTAATCGATAGTTTGGTTTCTGAAATATTTTTGTATTTATTAAAAATAAAGCAAGGTATTTCTTTAATTGCCTGTCTTTACAGCCATTATCTTCCATTTAATTTTTTAATAATAAAAATCATCCATAAAAAAAGTATAGTTATTACAGACTATTAAGAACCATTTTAGTTGAGATATAATAATACCTTTTAACATGAGACACAAGAATGGAAAAATTAAATCCTCTTCTCTTATCAAAAAATAGTCAACTGCACTATAACTTCTATAAAAGTAATGTCCAAATCTAAATAATTAGCATGGTAAATTCATACAAGAATAATCTGTATGGATATTATATTTTTAATAGTCTTCTTTAAATTAGTAATAACATTATTTTTATTTAAAGTACTTTTAGTAAAAGTACTTGTAGTATTAATTTCATTAAGTAAAATTTGTGTGTATAATTTTTACACACAAAACCAAAATTACAGTCAACTTTATCAATCGGGGTAATAAGGTATTGTTTTTGAACTTATCTTATTTTTATAGACATTAAAAAAATATCTAATTTATAATGAGATAAGTCTAAGGTTCTTAATTGATTCTTTAGGGAATTAATAAAATATAATTTCCGTTCAAAAAAAGAAACATGGCAGATAATAGGATTGTTTACTTATTTTAAGAATATAATCATCAATATTTTTTCTAAGTCTTTTAAGATTTCACATCTTTTTGTGCATTTTATAATTCTATATTTAGTACCTTTCTTTAATACTGATTGAAATTCATTATCTTTGACAACTTCTAAATTTCCTGTAACTATATGATTATGAAAGATATCTTTAAAAACACTATTATTACAGTTACAAGGTAAGTTGTCTACTTCTATTTGATGAAATTCTTCAATGAAGTTTTTATAGTTAAAGCAAAGAGGTCCTATAGATTTATTATACTTAAAACTGACTATCAGTTGAAATGATTTTATGGGAAAAATATCCTCTTGAATACTTTTATGGATCAGAGAAGGTAAATATAAATCATCATAAACTTTATGTTTAAAATTAATTACTATACAAGATTTCTTATTTCTTTAATGAAGGGAGTTTAGGTATACAATTCAATTCTAACCTAAATTTAATAAGATCTATAATTAAGTCTTTAACATGGATATTTTTAAACTCAAAATTAACAAATATTTGAGTTTTGCATTTGTAATTCTTTTTTTTATTATAAATTTCACCAGATTAACAGATCTGTCAAGCACAAAATCCAAATTTTCTATAAAAACTTTCAAAATCAATTTATTTATTTCTATTTTTACCTTTATCCCTATTTTTATTTTGTTTATTTCTACAAATATTTATTTGAAATTAATTTCTGATATAGGAATCTGTACTTATAATTTCAGCAGTTTTATTTTGAAAGTCCTGATTTAATCCAAAAAGAGTTTTTTCTTTCAGAATACTATATTCTTATCTTTCTGTTAAGAAATTTGTATTGTAGATTTTTCCTAATATAGTAATTTTTACATTATTAAATGAATGTTTATTAAACTGATTTATTTCTATTGAATAAGGAAAACCCTTATTACTTTACGATCTATGTTGGTTAATTCTCAGATGTAAAGGATTAGTTGTTTGTCCTACATATTTAACTCCACATATACTGCAATTTAATAAATATATTATATTATCTACTTTACACAGTGGTACATTTTGAAAATCTATGGCTATTAATAGCTATTAATCAGTATATGAAGGTAACAGAATATTCCTGAAATAGGAAACAAGAGAAAAGGGCAAGGATTGGGAGGATCATGAGATGTGCATTTTATCTCCAAAACTACATTGAAGCCATCAAGAGGACTGCAAGTGTTGATGCAGACTTTAAGAGTAGACTATGTGCATGAACTGAGAACAGTCTTTGTAGATAATATTTAAAAATATATAAATATTTTTTTTTTTTTAAGAGGGGCTTATTTTTGGATATATAAGACTGTTCGTTTTCAGTTTAATATGAGAGCATTATTTCATTTATATAGTGCAAGCATTAAAATAAGTTATTTCTAGAAGTGATAGTTATGGCAAACTTGCTTCTGTAACTGGTTAAGAATCATTTGTTGTGTACTTCAGTTGTTGTGAATTGATTGTAATGTAACTCGAACCTTCTGAATTTTTCTCATTGCTTTAATCAAATATTTTGGCATCATATAATATCTAGTAGTGTATATAGCACCCGATTGCATTGGGGATATCCCATCTATCAGACAAAATCCAAATGCCGATGGCAATTTAGTCAGCCATCATGGAAAATAATAATAAAAAAAATCAATCAAATAAGGGTACGAAGCTGAGTTCTTACACCCATAATGTCTCAGCTTCTCTTGCCTTTCACTGTCTATAGCCAGTTGTGGGAAGGCAGTTACCCTTAAATTTCTTAAAGTAGAAATGAACTGAAATGAAGCCAGCTTAATATTTCTACTAATTAAAACTCCCAACCTCCACTCTTACAAAAAATATATTAAGTAGAACTATACATCCTACCTTAAAAGTTCTTATATAGTTCTAACTGCCTTCCAACAACTGGCTATAGACAGTGAAAGGCAGTAGAACTTCCTAATGGCAAATATGATGGCCAGACACTCTCCTTTGATCACAGAGTAGTTCTTCTCACTACTCAGAAGCTTTTTACTTACATATATTATTGAAAACAGTCAGTCTTCATGTTCTTGTAGTAGTACTGCTCCAATTCCAAGGTCTGAAGCATCAGAATGGTTTGTTGAAGTTTAGCATTCTAAGGATTGGCAAAGTTCCTAACATTTTCTTTAACTCTTTAGCCTCAGCAGCCATTTATAAATTACTTTCTGCACTGGTACTGAGTTACATACAGAATATAATTAAACCACTTTACTATCAATTTATTATAACGAAATTATTATTATCAAGTACTTTTTAATTTTAAGTTTTATATTATCTAAGTTTTATTCCTTTATTTTAAAAAGAAATATCTAAAACAGCAATTAAAATTCCAGTTTTTGCTGTCACATGATCTCCTCACATTTACTCATCCATGTAATGGTGTGTGCACAGGCCTGCAGAAAGAAGGTGACGATAAAAACCTTGTATGATTCGAAAGAACACATATGGTGCTCATGAAAGTCCAAAGGTCAGATCCTTGAACTGCAGCACATGACCCTTGTACACAAAATGCATATATAGAATGGGAAAGATGGGAGCCATCAATATCCAACTTGGACATTCACAATCATAGTAATAAAAAAAAACCAACTTAGAATGAGGAATGACTCACTTGTGAACTTTGAAGGATCTAGGAAATTTATATAGACAAGAAAGAATGATGACTAGGTGCCGATCTCTTGTCTTCCTTGGCCCAACAAACAGATGGGAATAAGATCAGAAAAGAACTGGCACAACTCTCTCCCTGTCCCCAGGCCAACAAAACTCTGATAGCCCTAGAATGAAGTTCTGAAATCCAAGGATATACTACATTTTGGTGTGGATAGTGGTGATGAAGATGTGAACTGAATGACTAAACCTCACTCAAGGACATGTAGTTTCCATGGATTCGTGATGAAGGTTTACTACATGTCCAGGAATTCTCAGAGCCAAGCCCCTTGAGACCCCAAAGGCATACAATAGTTACCAACCTCGCTGTTGGCATTCTAACTGAGCAGCAGAATCCTTGGATATGGACAGAATCTATTCTAGGTACCAATGGACAGAGGGGCTGACAAGGGGGATAAGATCAAGAATAATGATGTACCACACTCTCACAGGTACTCCTTAGATTAACTACATCATTCCAAATAATGTTTTTGTATGAACTCATGGAATGATTATAACTCCACTTCAAGAGGGAATTTGATACAGATATAGACCAAACAAAAATAAGCCCTATGGAACAATCATTGTAGTATACAATCTTTAACACACAGGACTAGTGTAAATTTATTACTTTCCTACATCTAGTTAAAAATACATGCAGAACACCTGCATGGGAATTTAGAAAATTTATGTGAAGACACCTAACATATATTTTATACTTACAAAGGGTACAATACGACATTATTAAAAATCAACACACCAATTAGGATACTGTCTATCCCTTATCAGTGGCAAAAGAAATAAGTCAGATCCTGCGTGAATAAACCAAGAACTCAAAGAAGAAAGGCCTTATGGGTGAGTAAGG